AACACGACTGGCTTGCGAAAACGAGGTCCGATCACTTTTATTAATTATGCTTTATTTGACATAATCTGAACCAGAATCTCGATACATTATGAAGACTTCGAATGAAATTAGGTCACTCTCTGTCTTGAGTGAAGCTTGGAGATGGATACATATTACCATTCTTTTCAATTTATAGAAGTGGTCGCAACTTGGTCTTGTTGTCAAGGCGACTTAGTAGAACGCAGCTAGTCCGAAGTCGTCTGCCATAGTAGTTGTCATGATTCACAGCATCTGACAGTGGACTTGCTACATTCTCAAACTTGTCTCTTTGACGAGTTCGTAGCTTGGTGCGCAGAATGGCAAAGCTCATTGATGATGCTAATTACGATGCCGGAAAAACGTTTAAGAATGTACCAAGTCCACTGTCAGATGCTGGGAATCATGACAACTACTAGGGCAGATGATCTCGAACTAGTGTGTTCTACATTGTCGCCCTGACAACAAGACCAAGTTGCGACAAAGAGGTCGACCCACTTGCAGAATAATGTTTGTAAGGAGAACGAATGAAGCACAAAAAGCTGGGATTAGCTTTAAGGGATTTCTAATAACGATGGTTATCTGTAACTGCCAAACGCATAAAAGGGACTATTCGATCACTCCTTGTGCTCTTTGTCTATTCACAAGTCAGCAGGCAATTGTATTTCCAAGTAAATGTGGCAGCTATAGACTGATGATGCTTTACACATTCATTTGGAAGTGTTCCAGAAGTGTGTGGAGCTATTCGTCCTTTTCTCAAAAGGTCGCTCTCACCGGAGACGAAAGTAAGTGCGACAAGAATCTGCCCAACGAATCCTCGAAGTGCAACCTCTTTTTCTGCATTTCTGCATTTCTGTACCTCAGTCACGACTCGTCGTGTTCAGCTTGCCTGCCCGATTGAATTGTGTCCCGGCGAATCGGACCTGGCGCCCGACGTCAGCGGCGACTTCCTGGACTGGGACACAACAGCTTTTGTGCAAAGCATGAATGCGGCTGTCACGAGGCCGTTGGGCGCCGATTCCAACTCGGAACATTTGCTGTATCTCATTTCGCCACGCGTCACCGACCGTGGCATCGAGTTGACCGGCAACGCCACGGTCGAGGAGATGACGTCAGCTCTGCGCCAGGTCCGTTGGTTCCGACTTCAAGCTTTCGAAGACACCTCCGCCTCAGGCGCAGCCGAGCAGAGCGGACGAGTTGAGTCCGGCCCCAGTCAGCCTAAAAGCCATCTGGCAGCGCCGGTTGAGCGCTGCTTCACGCTTGTCTGCAGATTGGAAGGATACCGGAGCCCTCTGAAGTCTGCAGAACATCCGAATGCACATTGGCTGACAGACGGCATCACCAACAGTCTTATTGTCAAGGTTTGTCGGGAAAGGATGCTCTTTTCTATGCCATAAATAACCCTATACGAAGAAAAGTTGGGTTTCGACGAATCTCTTGTTTCACCATTGTTGAGCTTACTTCCATTTTGAGTGAAGAGATTCAAAGGTCGGTTCCACCAGAA